TTTTTTTAAATAAATGCCTAAATGAAATGAGTTTGGGGAGGGAATCAAAATAAGGTTTGAGTCACTTCTGCCTACATTCATAGGAATGATTTATCCCTCACAACTTTTCTTTTCAATATGTGGAAACAGCCTAGAGATGAAAGACATTTTTAAAAAACTATTCTTATCTGATGCCTGCCAGAAAAAAAAAAAGATGTACATTGAGTTTTGGGACATAATGCAGGAACCATAAACCACTTCTACCAAAAAGCATCCAGGTAAATTGGCTCCAAAAGCAACAATAGCTTCATAAAACTCATCACCATCCTTCTCACTAAGCTTAGCAAAAGAGAGAGAAAAAATACATCAGCAAGTTTTCACCAAACCTACTGGGTAAAAAAAAACAACCTCATTATGTTAAGATTCTGGCTTGATTTTGAAGCATCCGTTAATGACAATCTTGCTCTAAAACATGTCCCCTTTCTTTGCTTAAAAATGTGCTTCTAAGGCTAGATACCCTCAATTCTCTGATTTGTTAAATGAGTTTAATATTTTTGCATTTCACTTGTCTTTTCTGGAAATAACCTTTCCAGTCCCTTTCTCAATCCACCAGCCACTTAGTCTTCCTGGAGCACTCTGAACCAAGTTTCTCTCTGGGTCTCATCCCTTCATTTGACATTTTTCCTGATGCATGGAGCCTTGGAGAACTCCTGGGAGTATTTTCCATCTGCTTTCTGTATGCTCTGCATATATTAAGACATAATGCACGGCTTGTGATTCATCACAAACACCTACATACTACGTTCTACTGGAATTCTGATTTAAAAAAATTACCAATAATAAAAAATGGAAATGTTGGTCCTTCATAGTCTTCTGGACTCTCCTCCTCTTGTCACCTAGAGAGAGACACACGCACCAAAGTGCCATTGTGTAATTGCTCACCTTTTCCATACTGACAACAATAAGTCCCTCAGTATTCATGCCAGCCAGTGAAATAAATTCCACTGGAGAAATTACAGAGATGTGTGTCAAGGGGATAAATAAATGATACATTGGAGACCCAGCAAGCCACAGAATGGGAGTTCGTGAGCTGTTTGTTGTTGTTGAAAAGACCTACGTACGTGACTCTTCTATATTTGCTTCAAAAATTACCCCTTAGTGAATATCCATTTAACCTGAGTGCCATTACAGAGGCCTAGAAGGTGCCCTCAGCAACAGGTCACCCTGGGTATTGTGAAACATTTTCAACTTTCTCAGTCAGAAATCAGAGATGCACAATCTCCTGCTTTGTGCTGGCGATGGTGATTTTAAACCTCAGCCCTCTAGGTTTCAATCGTGTGTTGCTTTAGGTTCCCAACGTCATTGATTTTTCAAACAACCCAAGGAGAAAGCAAGTTCTTAGTCATTAATATTTCTTCTGAGAAATGTGCTGTCATCAACCGGAATGACAAGGGTTCAAAGGAAATCAGGAAAGCCTTCCAGATCTTCCAGGCAATACATTTTTCCTTCTTGCTGGATTTCTGACAACTCATAAAATAAGAATCATTGTCCTCTTAAAAATGTCTGTTCTTGCTTTCCCAGGGGAAGAGGGAACAAGCTACAAGATCAGAGTGATGTCTGTCCATTGGTACATCAAAATCTGGTCCTTAAACCTTAAAGTCTATGTAGAAATTTCAAAACTAAACTCCACGTTGATTCAGGAACATGAAAACATTGTTTTTATGGAGTCAGTGCCATCCTTACTGTAATATGCGAAGGGAAAAGAGCTGCACAGCTTTTCCAGTATTTAAGACACCTGACCTAGAGCCTAGGGAAATGGATATCTTGGTTACACTGGGCTGCTGATAATACAGGTGCACCCCAGATAGGAACACAATTCTCATTTGCATCTTTACTTTGCTAGAATTCTTATCTACTGAAGGATATGATACTTCTAGAAAACAAAAGTGTTAGAATTATAGAAATCATGCCAAGTAGAGACTTACACCATGAATGACAATCATTTTTATGATGTGAATTCTAAAGCAAATGGTCTAGGGTGAGTGGGTGTGATGGAAAATGGTGTTTTAACTCTTACCAGTCAGTGGTTTGAACTGATTGTGCCACCTCACATAAACAATGGTGTTCTAGAGCTAGATTTAACTGGCTTATGAGAGCTAATTGTTAGATATTCCAGAATTTTGCAAACCACAACTGTTGATAGCTTGCAATTTTCCCTGATGGGAATTTACACCATAGAAATCGGCAGACATTGCAAATTGGGGCTTTCTTCCCCTCCTGAGAGGCACTTTACCACTAGACCACTATACATGGGCTCGTGCAAACAGAATCGTTTCCAGAATTGAGAAAATGTTCCATTTTTCCTAAAGACCAGAACCACAAAACAATCAAACAATTTAAAAAGAAATAAAATCATGAAAATAAAGTTCTTATGTTGCCACCTTAATATAATTCTTAATCCTAGAGAAACTTTCTCCAAGTTTATAATTTTATACTCATTCAAAGTAATATGTGTAAAAGGACTCAGCCTTTCCTTGGTATTGGGGGCGGGCAAACAGGATAACTTTTGCTTACCTCACGACAGAGTTTTGAATATCAAGAATGTGGAAAGTTAAGGGGGGAAAAAACTATTATGAGTAACAGCATGAAAGAGAAGGTATTATTTTTCAAATATTTAAATATAGGTCACCGAGTCTGCAGCAATGCTCATTGAAATGTTAATTCCATTCAATTCAACTTGACAAACATTTACAAACAATCAGTGTAGTTGAATTGAATTGAAATGTTAGTAGAAGTAGGGCTAAAGTGCCTCCGATCAAAAGTAGGGAGAAGTACAATAAATGTTTCAAATGAGTTGAAACACTTATCCTCCTGTGATATTTCTCTGCAAAAATTAGAAAATCTCCTTTGACTATAAATTAAATTCTATCCTGAGATGAATGTTAACTTTATAATAAATACGATCATCAAATATTTATATCTAGCCTGTTTCAAGACACCTGTTATTGAATTACTAAGCAGCTTAGATAAAATAATGCAGAGATTCTACCACACTGAAATAGTATGAGAAAATACAAAAAAAAAAAAAAGGTGAACAGAGATTTCTGAACTTTTATTTTAAATTATTGAGTAACTATGAATATTTATGGTAGCTCCATTTTTTTTCACCTCTGGGTAGTTATCTCCCTACTTCTGATCGAGGCACTTTTAGCCCTACTTCTGCTAAAAGCACACTGCTCACCTAGTTTCAGTATATATTCTATAGGAGAAATTGACAGTCTCCCTAGAGCCCCTGGAAGGCATGTGGCTCAGCATGACCAATGACAT